TCTAAGCGAGCGATTGATCGGAAGAACAAAAACACTCAGCTTTGAATATGGCGGAGGTTGTTCATAGTACAGTATATCTGTCGTTCCATGATCGCAATCATCAATCGAATTTTGAGAATATTTCGAGTAAGGTGATGGTTCTTGATACGTTCTGAAAAATGAATAAGCATTATATTATAACAAGTCAAATTCTAAGCCGAAGATATTACTTACTGATGAACCTTCTCTACTTCATTTCGAGTTTGATTTACTGGTGGATCGTGGTTGGTGTTAGTGCTGCTTTGTTTATCAAAGCTTGCCTTGGTTGGTGAGTCGCAATGCATCGTTGAGGTATGTATTGTAGCCACTAAACTATTTGTTTCATTGTTTTTCAGCATTTAAAGTTTATTCTGCAAGTTTTTATATCGAGATATGATCAATACTTCGTTGTTGACACTCGTCAAAGAATAGATATTCGATAATATTTTTCTTTAGAGCTCTAAATGTAAAGAGATAACCCCATTCTATAGCATGGGACATATTGTGAGAAACTTCTATTTGATGGCATAGTATGAGAAAGATATTTCATCCCATGACACGTTACTACGAGTCTACGATGTCATGACTCATATGAAACGATACAATGGATAAAACGATAATATTCGTACAGAAAGAAAAATACGCATGTTATGTTTACCAGACAAACATTTTCCGTTCATACCAGAAGAAGTATTTTGACTTCCATTTAGGAATAGTGGAGAACATTTCAATCCTGACACTCTTCTTTCATTATTTTAACAATTGACTTGTATAAGAACTGAAAATGGCTGTACAGATATGAAACATGAATTTCTTTTTAATTTTAACATATAATTAAGAGAGAGTCTGCCAGAGGACCACCCTACTCTATTAGAGAGACGCCGGGAAAAAAAAATTCGATTTTATTATTTTAAATGATAGGTCTAGTCAAGCCATTGTTAAATCCAAAATATCAAAGCATTTGGTTGTTCCTATGAAAAATGGCAGGAAAAACAAGTTTAAAGGGTAAATTTTGACCCTAAAAAATTTATAACAGAGGATGTGCTCAGTATTTTGAGATTTTTTCAAGAATGGCTTGGCCGTTTGAGCTCGGAAACACCTCATTTGATAGAAAACTGCTTGGGCTACAATTCTATCCTATTGTAGGAACTAATATATTGGATAAGAAATTCTCTGTAGGTTAAAAACTCGAGATATGACCTCTTGCTGAAATGACAGTATTTTAGAGTTTTCCCGAGCTATGTATGAGATGCTGGAATGATTTTGTTACCGAACATAGATCTCAGTAAGATACATCTTCTGATATAAAATTGTCCGAGAAAAAAAAACTGAGAGAGGGGAGATAGTATCAGCCGCACTCTGCCTACCCTAGCTAATGGCCATAAGTCTCATCCCCAAAATCATACATTTTTTTTTCAAAATTGACAAAAACTGAGTTTAGATTCGTATTCAGCGCACGAAATTGGGTAGTATAGGTTATTGTAGAACGATCTCCTCTCTGAATATAGTATGGACCATGTTCCGGGTAGACCTTCTCGACATATGATGGATGGTGATATCAGTGTTTTGATAATAATTCACCTAATGCAAAGAACTATGGAGTTCGGGTTTTTATCATTCGATAGCCCCTTTCAATACCTACAAAACTGCATATTTCCTAAACTCAAGAAGCACTGTTCACTAGACACATACCTAGGTATATTGTTCCCAAGCACTGTTTTTACACTTTTTGAGGTAGCTATTCGAACGTTTTTGACCCATAAACTATATTTTAGTTCAAAACTAATATCATATTCGGAATAAGCAGCGAAAACTGAGTCGATCCATGTGCTTTTCAAATATTTTTGAAATCTTGACTTTTTCGTCAAAAAAGTCACCCCTAATCCCCCTCAGGTCCCATCAAAAAATGATTTCGCTCGAAATGTGGTTTTTCTCCTTCAAACATTTTCAGTTTTGCTTTTGCTGGCATCATAAAGACTGGACAACTTTATTCCACAGGATTGATCGCATTTTGGACAGAAATCATTTTTTGATGGGAACTGAGGGTGTGGGTGCATGTCTGCATGCAAGTGTGGGCGCGGGTGTTGATGTTAGTCTTCTCTTCGATCACACCACACACCCACACCAACATCCACCCGCCCCACGAATACATATGACAAAAAGTAGTAATGTTTAGATTTCCAACAAGATAAAATGTATAGCATCATTGTTATTTTTCAAAAAAGATTCCCATACATATTGATTAACAAATAAGATATTGTTCATTTATTGACTATATTGATAAAAAAAAAAGGATTTCATTCATTTGATTATTGTTAATTAAAGTCTTGAGCAGATTAAGAAACCTCTGAATTGAACATCCTAAATACAATGAAAAGTTTAGAAAAATTAAATGAACTTTATATAAAATTATTACTGGTACGTAAAATATGATCAGAAAACATTATGATTCTCAAATGAACAAAATCCATCATTTACCAATGATTTTCTTGTTGTTAATCGAAAATGACGAAATACAAACCGTCATAATTTAACAACTGTAATATCTCATAATTCATAATTTTGTAAAAAAGAAAAAAGAAATTCATAATTATTATTCTTTCTAATTAAGTTGTTCTGTTTTATGAATAAAGGAAAAAAGTAACAGAAATAAAATTATTTTGAATAATCTTTTAGGTCAACTTTAGTTGAATAAGAATAATAAAAAAAATGTTTTTTTCATTGCTGAGCAAATAATTGATGTACATCAAAAGAAAATTTTACATAAAACCATAACAAATATTGCATGAGTTTCGAAATATCTTACATCTAATTACGAACAAAAAAAAAAGATTAGATCCTTTTGAATGTAGTCATTATTTTATTGTCTTTAAATATAGATTGATTACAATAAATATCTTCAACATGTTCTTATCATTATGTCAATAAAATACATACAATTTAACAATAAAAAGGAACACACAAGCTCTTAGAAATAATCATTGACATGGCCTGCTAGGGTCTTAGGACCATCAGTTGAAGCAAATAAAAAAAAAAAAAAAAAATAATCATTGACATGGTTTGATCAATTAGCTACTGAAATTATTTTTTGATATATTTAATTATTTATCATGCAATGATATTTTATTTATAGATTGACTGACCCATATTCGATTACCAATTTCAATAATGTTTAGAAAAAAGCTCGTAGCTTAGCACTAGAACGTCCGTTTGAGCACATTCTTTTTCTTTCTGGATAGAATGAGTGACACTACATATCTGCCGATGTTTTTGTATTAATTAATTCTTTCTAAATGAATACTGACGATTACAAAAACGTTAAGTTGACACTTTTGCCCGTTGTGTTGTTTTTTTAATTCAATCACTCTATGTATTTTGTTTTCCTAATTCGATCATTTACATGGGATTTGACGGTAGTGCTCAGAAAAACAGTTTTTTCGTAGGAAAAAAAACTCTTCAATTTGATAAAAAAAAATTATATCATTTAATGCCTCAGCTCACAATCTATCTTTTTGTATATTTCTTATCAAAATGTATTATCATTTTCACCATTTTGGATGTGGGTATGCCCAGTGAAAAATGATAAGATTATTACAAATTATAACAGGATTTCAGTGGAGCAAAATCCAAATTGTAATCGACTGAAATCTTCTAAATCAACTATAATTTTGATTAAAATCTTATAGTTTCGATTAAAAATCATATCAAATCTATAATAGATGATTTTGATCAAAGTTATACTTGATTAAGGAAATTTTTTTTCGATTAAAAAATCAAATTATAGTTGATTTAGAAGATTTCAATCGATTATAATATGGATTTTGTTTCGCAAAAATTCAGTTATAATCTGACATTTTTTCACTGGGTGGGTGAGCCTAGAAATATGATCAATAGCCACACACCCACACCTGACCTGGTCTGCAGGCTAGCCTGTAGGTCAGGCTAAAAATAGTTGGCTTGTTGGCAGCTCTGCTACAAAGCTTGTCCGTGTAAAATAAACCATGTGAAGCATTGTACAAAATGTCATCTGAAAAATAAGCATGCTTGTAAAAATATCGAATAATTCTTGTACGTGCTAACATATGCTATCTCGTATTTCAAATCGTTTCAATTGTTGTTGTTTTTTTTTGTATAAAACTATGTATTTTTGAAAGTAGTTTATGTCATTTTCATAGATTATATAGGGATTTTCAGGCATATATGACATGTATGTAAAAAAGACTGTATTAATTCCTTGATAAGTGAATTTAAAATTGCTCTGAATATTAATTCTCCCCCCCCCCTCTTTAAGCAATACATAAAAATCATACAGAAAATTTCTCGGAACTTCTGAAATCTTCCTTGTGAACTTTATTTGCTCGAATAATAAAATATATTTCCATGACATCCTTTACAAGGAAAAAAAGCTATGTAGTTTTTCTACAATATATGTCATGACTATACTGTAGAAATATGAGAATGTTTAGTTAATTACTCATGTATCATCACTTGAACGAGTGCAATGAGTTTTTTACATAAAGCAGAATTCTTCTGGAATATGCTTTTACAGATTTTTTATTCTTTCTAATTGAACTCTGCGATAATATTCATGAGTTAACGAAGATTTTTTTGTTTGCAATTGAATTTTCTTATGAAAAGAGGAAAGTCATCCATATATTAGTGGCGAGAGTCTCGACAATATTTCTATCCATCCTGAAGAGGAGGACAGAAATATTAGACTGATGAAGAAACTAATCATGTTTTTTTCATACATCCTCGTCTATATTTTATCGTGTTTTATTCAAAAATCTTTTCAATTAGTTTTTGAAAAAAAAATGAGCGTATAACAAAATGTATTATGATACAATTATACAACTAATTGTACAAATATACATATGTATGTATATATGTTCATATAATTTCTAAATTGTTCTATTTTTCATTGATAAAATTTAATCTTATAGTCAATCAAAGAGTATTCATCCAACAAATCAATATTAATATCAGTCTATTTCTGAAGTAAGTCCAAATACAGATTGCATTAATGAATGAAATCTATTACAATCTGAAGTTTGCCTTACAGAATTATTCATTGTAACCATTAATACTTGATAACGTAAAATTTGCGTAACTATTGTTAGCATTACTTTTATTGCTTCTTTTTCATCAAATAAATAATTTAAATAATGCCATAGGACATTTGTATAAAAATTTTGCAATTCAATGAATATTCTCTTACTTTTATAATGATAATTTTTATTAATATCAGATGATGTAGATAAATTAATATTGAAGATAAAAACAATTAATGCAAGTTTTAATATTAATGGATTATTCATAAAAGGAAGAAGATATCGACGTGTTCGAACTACTTGACTATGAAAATCTTTACTTATCCATCTGGATATGTGTTCACGTTGACTTGACCAGTCTTGAAAACTATGTACCATTATATGATGTAAATGTATAATATTAACAAAATTAGATTTAATCAATAGAATTTGATCACTTATATGTAATTGTTTAAATTCTGGTATACATTTAAAAAAATTAATTAATGATTCATGAACAACAGTTTCATCATTAATAAACTGTGAGAAAGGTGTAGATGATGTATATCTTTCAATATAGGAAAAATCATGTACACCTACTACCAACTGATAAGCATTATTTATATTATTTAACAATATTCGATGATCATCAAGTAGAATATAATTATAATCAAAGCGCTGCGTTTTACAAAGCTAGAATAAGAAAATATAGATTATTAATATTATTTAATAATTTTTATTTACCGGATAAGTGACAATATCTTGGCTTATTGATTTTATTATTAAGTTTTTTCTCTTTCGTAGAACTGTTGGAACAATAGCAAGAGATTTTTGATCATTTGATCGATCATTTATTTTCTTATGTTGTTTTGCTAATTTCATTGCATATCTTGATTTTTTTTCTTCTTCAGAAAGTATCAATTCTTTACGCATTTTAATATCAAAACATTTCTTTAATCGACAATATGGACACATACGACGTGTGCGAATATTAATATCACACGAACCCGACTGATGACATTTCAACTGCGACTAAACAAAAAAATATCATTGTTAGGTCATTTCAACATGAGCGAAGACTTGACTGGAATGCATAAACTATCAGGAACTTGAATTATTTATGGGTTCTAGAATTTTGTGACTTTGATTGTGAATTAAATTTAGAATAAGGAAATTTTTATTGGCTACGTTAATAGGTCACGTATGTCTATGTCTTAACCATTGAATTTTCTACATCCTTTCACATAATAAGGACATGTGGATAGATGAATTGTGGCTATGAGTCATTCTTTTAATCCACATTGAAACTCACAAGCAAAATTACTAATTGATACAATCAAATCTCTTTCTCATCTTTTTGATGGAAGAAAACGAAAGAAATACAACAATGATATTTTCAAATTACACTTGTCAGGTTCATTGCTCAATGAACATTTGATAATGTTTTATTTACGTTTTTTTTTCTTATTGATTCCACTATTGTCTAATTAAAACATGACTCGGTCATATTCTGAATGAAAGCTATGATATATATTCTAACGATATGAACTTCAACGGAAATGTTATCAATGAATAGAGATGTTGATTCGTCAAAAAACTTCGATATATTCGATTTGTTAATTGTTATGTATTTTTTTGTCTTGTATTTTTTTCTCATCCTACACCGGGAACGGTAAAGGCTCTAACTAACTAGCTGATTAAAATGGTAATAATTCCATAAGAATAAGCTATGAGTATGAAGCCTTTTACATTTTTTATTAGTCGCATTAAATTCAATCCATGATCAAACAACAAGTTTGTCATACGAAATCATCTCCAATGGATATCAATAGAAGTATTTCAATGAGTTAACGAACTCGATCTACAATAGTGCGTAAGTTCTGTTTTAAATTATTCGGTACTTCTTACCATATCCCGTAATGCATTTCGACGAAAAAATGCTTTACATGGTTGACAAGTGATTTGATTAAAATTCATACCACAAGCTGGAGCCCCACAAACACGACATTCTAAACTCGATCGTTGAGAGCGTCCTTGTGAACAATTATCTGGTGATGATGTTTGTAGTTGATCTTGATCAATCTAATAAAACACTAAATGATATTATTTTAAAATACTCATTATATATATATACGCCTGGAAAAAATAAGCTGTAGTCTGTATTTTGGAGATATCGTTATCATAGTAGCATATTTAAAAAAAAAAATGATATATTCTGCAAGGGCTTGGGGTTTTCT